GAATCACTCTTTCATCTATTGTTCTAACACACAGTTAGTAGGACTGTGTGTCTTAAACACTATATAACAGCTGAAATAATATCTGATTAAATAAGATTTTTTCATTAGACAGGATACCGTTCTCAACACGTCGCCTCCCAGCAGGAGAGGTCTGGTTTTCCTGCTCCTGATGTCTGCTCAGCTCTCTGCTGGTCTGTGCTGCACTAAAGTGATCATTATTTAGGTTTTCTTGGCAGCAGTTACAGCTTCATCGACCCTCATCTCTTCCTGGAATGCAGAGGTGCTTCTACTGGAAAGATAGGACCTAAACCAATCCAGTGCAGTACCACGGATACCAGCAAGGTGGTTTAACAGAGACAGTGTTGTGGTCCACAGGGTCAAAGGCTGCTGTCAAATCTAACAGCAGAAGAATAATGTGATCACCAGTCATTTGCCAAGAGGATGCCATTAAAAACTCTTCACAAAGCCGACGGAAAGTAGGAGCTGGACCACAGCTTGTTTAAAACTCAAAGATACAACACCAGAGGAAAGAGGAATGTTTGTAACGTCCAGAACTTACTGTCCTATAGGAAAGAAAACGGTTATATGGCTCATTCATCTCCATCTCTATAGTTATGCTGCTATAGGTTTAGACTGCTGTAGGACATAGGAACCCTTTTTAATCATTCTGCTTCATGTTTTCTCTGTTCTCCCATCCTGCAGTATTTCTTAGTTCAATCTCTAAGATTATTCTCTCTCTGCTTTTTCTCATAGTAGCTTAATCTGTTCCTGTTTGGCTGTGACTCCATCCTGAAGAGAGATATCAGCTTAGTGTGAGGGATTGCCTTCGGGTCATTGAGTCTATGCAATCAACTGGTTTTCCTTAGAAAACTTTGAATCAATCTGACTGGATGATTTGGTGGAATTGTCTTTGCAAAGCGCCTTCAGATGATGTGTTGTGAATTGGCAATACAGAAATAAACTGAATGGAAATTCATCAGGCTTACCTGGGTCTGTGCTGAGGCAACGCCTTAATGTCCACAGCAAACATTTTGGACACAAAGATGATGACTGGATCATTGGTCCCGCTGGAACACCGCAGGAACGCTGGAAAAGCACACAGATGGAAAACACCACTGAGTCAGCAGGCAGAGCACCGTTAAAATGAAAACAGTTCCTGAGAAAGTGAGACTAGAGGGAGGACCTGATGACGGCTCCCTGACGCTTTCAATTCATTAAAAACCTGAATAGAGTTAGATACTGAAAGGAGGGGTCCAAAAGTAGCACCAAGCTCAATGCCTTCCTAGTTCCACTTGTAAAGTCTGTTAGAAATTGTAGACTGAGACACAGCAGACTGCAAGGAGCAAAGGTTCCTGTTAATTTAGACACTTTCAAGGGGAGAGCTCACAGTTAGACAGAATCTCTCAGTGAGCTCTGACGGGTCGCTCATTCCCCCTCTACATATAGATCACTTTTGCGCGTAAAAGAGGTTACAAAACATTAACAGAAACTCTTTTCCACAACACAAAGGTTTCCACAGAACTGACCTCTTGAGGTGTTTCATAGTAACTGTTTTACCACTAATTGCCGCTTGTATCCGCAATCTCGTTCTTTCGGTCATGACCCAGAGTTCATGACCATAGATGAGGGTAGGAACGTAGATCGACCGGAAAATCGAGAGCTTCGCTTTTTGACTCAGCCCACTCTTCGCCACGACAGACCGGTACAGCGCACGCTTCACAGCAGACGCTGCGCCAAGGTACCTTGGATTTCCTTGCTGATTTGACAAACGCCTAGATGGGAATCCACAGGTTATCTACTTTTTTTTTACCCCAAGCACTGGAACACAAACTTTCTGTCATCAGAACCTTACAACACTGGGCCGATCATGTCCCTACAAAAACAGAAGGGAAGCACAAAGAACAAAAACACATCAAAGATGCTCTTCCAAATTGTGGATACCCAAACTGGGCGTTTCAAATCAGCAAGGAAATCCAAAAGACACACAGCAGAACATAATGGTCAGAAGATTAAACGCAAAAGCATTGCCATTCAACATGTTGCTAGAATCTCTGAAAAACTCGAAAGGGCAATAACGGTGCGTGTATGACGTTGTTCGCGCATGCGCACTGGAGTAATAACAGGCAGCCCGGGCCACAGACGGCTACACTCTACCTCTTATATATTCGGCTAGCTAATCTGAATCGTTCAATTCCATTTGGAGTGTGAGATCATCTGTGGTAGCAGCACTAGACATCTTCCAGGCATGTGAGGAAAACTAGCAGCAGTTCAGCGGACAGGATGAATGAATGGTAGCCAGCGTGCAATGACGTCATACACACTCCGCTTTG